AGGGGTATGCACACTAAATTGGGGTAGGTAGCGGAATTAGTTGGCTAGGGCCGCCGTAACACGGTACCGCAGACTCAGAAATTAATTTTCTCACATTTCTGGCAGCTAGACGTTGGAGCTCAAGGAGTCAGCAGCGTGGGTTTTGTGAGGGAGGCCTCTCTTTTTGGCCTGTGGACGGCTCCCTTCTCCATGTGCTCTCCCATGGTCCTCGCTGTACGTGTCCGTGTCCTTAACCCTTCTAATAAGGACACCAGTCATACTGGATTTGGGCCCACCCATATGACCTCTTTAAAGACCCTATCTCCAAATGCAGTCACATTCTGAGGTACAGGGGGTTAGGACTTCAACCTTCGAATTTAGGGGGTAGGGTGGCACAATTCAGCACGTAACAATAGCATTGTTCCTCACCTTGGCTGTGCACCAAGTCCTATATCCCCAAACTCCCTCCAACACTTGGTGCCATCCCGCTTTCTAAGTTCTGCCAAATTAATAGATGTAAGGTGATATCTTACTGTTATGTGTTTCTCTGTATTTCTAATGACTTTAAACATCTTCATATGCTTATTAGCCTTTGGGATTTTGCTCGTTTTCCTACTGAGGTTGCTGTCTTTCTTGCTGATTTATAGGAATTGCTTGTATAATAATCCCTTATTGGTTTAAGTCACTGTAATTATCTTCTCCTAGTATTGAACTTTGCCCATGAAATCCTCATTTGTATGTAATCAAATTCATCAATCGTTTTCCCTTGAGGGTTGGGCCTGTGACATTTTTTTGTTTAAGCACTTTTCCATCCCAGATCACAAAGATACTCTCCTTCATACTCTTTGATGAACTTTATAGGTTCTGCCTTACACATCCAGTGACATCTTAGAGCTGACTCAGCAGAGCCTGGCCGCGTGCCCTGCCAGGGGTGTTCGGGAGGGTCCCGTCCTCTGAGCCTCTCTCCCACTGGCACTGCCAAGGATGCTTGATAGCTGTCAGGCAGCACTCCTGCTACCCGGCCCCATCAGGGCTTAGAGCCCGAGAAAGAGGAAGACAATTCATCACCCAGAAAGGGCACCCTTCCTGGGCCATGATCTCCTTTTATTCTTTGTGGGTGCTGCCAAGTGGTAGCACCTTGTTCCCAGTCCCAGGTGAAGGAGCCCTGGGCTAGTCACTGGCTCCCTGGGACGGGCCTCAACTTCTCCAACTTAAGCAACAAGGGGGTTGAACCAGACGGTATCTAAAGGCTCTGCCAACTCCCAAATCCCAGAACTCAATAACTCAGATGTTTATTTTGGAAGTCTTTGCCCTCTTCCAAAAGATCTCACGCAAGACAGACGGTGGAGAGACACTTGGAGCGTGCATTCCCCGATGCGTTTAGAGCATGGTCAGGAGAGCTTGGTGCATTTGTTTCCTTTCTGGGATTTTTATCAACGGCTACAGGAAAAACCTCTGCAAAAGGGCCCAGTCCTGATGATGCGCCCGGCAGTTGCGCCTCCTGGTGGCCATCTCCTGATGGAGCGGGTTCTGGGAGATGACTTCGCCACCGCCGAGAGCACAGACAGGACGCCAGAGGAGAGTCTGCCCAGGGCACACAGCCGGGCAGGGTCAGAGCCTGCACCGAAGGCAGCCCCTCCCAGCCCCCAGGGCAGCCCTGCGACCGTGGTTTCAGTTTTTCCAAGGTCTTTCCTGGACCCATGACTGCATTCCAGAGTCTGGGGGCTGATCAGTGCTGAAGACTATTTGGAACTTCCACCTGTCTGGACCTCACTGGACAAGAGGATCTAAATTTCACTTCTCACAACAGTCTCCCCTCCCTCCGTTATGCCAGGCCCAGGAAAATGGACCCATAACTCAGAACTTTTCACACAAATACAAGTGCTCGTTAAGAAGCACCTTAGATTTATTCTCTTCTCACTTCTGAAGCCACCCCATTTAATTTACATATACACGGTATATAAATGGCTATGCAACATTCTGCACATACGTTAACACAAGGTTAGGCTTTACTACTGTGTGGAAGTTTGTTAAAACGTAGCCATCGTTTATTCAAAATAGATCTTTGTTATTACATGAAAACAGTTAAGAAGCTTGTATAACACGGACAGCAAGCATTCAAAATGAATATATGAAATGAATGGTTTTGCCCTGGCTAAATCAGACTCAGTCTTTTACGCTCTCAGTAGAAAAGTTCGTCAAACAAAATAGAATCTTGGGGTCATATAAACAACTCATTAAATACTATTTCTGAAGCAACCCCAGAACCATACACGGATAAGCGTTCGAGAAGGTCATATGTACCAAGTACAGATTAGAGGAACAGAATGGACTTGATAATTTCACCCTAAATAAAGGGCGCTTGTAGGCAACGGCTCTGCCATCGGTACACACAGCCAGATGTTTCCATATCCGGCCATTCCCAGATTTTACCAACAAGCCCTTTCCACAGGTCCCCTGCCAATGACATTTCCCCAGCAACAGACGTTTGACATCACTGCTCCCCGATGGGAGAAGCAGAGCTTTCCTCATCTGGGTCGGGGACAAACTTTGAGGTTCAGCCCCTGGTTCCCCAGGACAAGCCTCAAACACAACCAGCAGAACTGGCCTCCTTGGACCCTGGAGGACCCCAGCCAGCGGTACCAAGGGGCTCTGTGCCTGGAGGAAGGAGGCAGGGTCAGGGGAAGGGGAAGAGTCCGCTTCCTTTCTGGAGGGAAAGAATACAGCCATTTACACTGCGGTGTTATAAGATGCTCTTTTTTTGTGTAAAGGCCAGAAGACACCTCCATGTGGCAGGTGAACTCGAAGCTTCCTGCCTGCACACACACAATGGGTTCACCCAGTATTCCCCTCCACTAGGCTTTTATCCTCGTGACAGCAGGGGACAGGCTGATGTTATCGCCATTTCCCAGATGGGAACACTGAGGCCGAAGGGCAGTGACTTGGCCACTGTGGTGCAAGACCGAATGTCAGAGCCAAGCCAGGCTTCCAGCCAGCTGACCAGTACACTCCTTCCCCAGCCTCCTCTCTCGAGGGCACGTCTGCTCTCTCTTCTTCCACCACCGTGAACATTCACAGCACTCAGGTGGTGCCTCCCTGTCCTCAGGCAGGATTCCCCGTAGGAACTATTGTACCACCGTGAACATTCACAGCACTCAGAATCCTGTCCTCAGGCAGGATTCCCCGTAGGAACTATTGGACCGGGAGCATCAGAGCAGGGGCCCACATCCAGTCAGGGCAGGGGCCCACATCCGGTCCCCGTGAACACTCCCATCCACTGGCCCTCACCTGCGCTACACAGTGCAAGCAGCAGATTCTCTGAGGGCCACCTGTCCTGATTGTTACAATGAGTGGCTGACTCTTTTGAGGAACAGCAAGCAGCAGCTCCCACACACCAAGGGGAGGCTGCTGTCTTCCAGCTCTGCTTCCCATCTACCCCCCTGCTTCCAGCACCCCAAACAGCCCACCTTGCTGGCTATTGTCTTTGACTCTAAGCAGTGCTACTTCCCTCCGAGACCCAACTCCCAGTATGTGCTGAGCTCCCCAAGGTGCACAGTGCACCTTCTGCTCCCCTCGGAAGCTCCTGCACCCACCCTACTGATACAATTAAAGGTGGCTTTCCCTCCCTTTCAGAGACTCCGGTTCCAGCCTCTGTCCTCAGGGCTGGAGTGTGGGGGGCAGAGGTGGGAAGCAGTCGGGGTGGGGGGACCTGGAGAACAGGGGCACCTAGGAAAAGAACAGGGAGCTCACAGTGAGGTGGATAGAAACGATGATTACACATTTTCATTTCGGCACTCGTCCCGACGCCCTTTTCCCACCTCTTAAAGAACTTTAAAATGTTGGGCCTCGATTCACACTGTCTGTCAACAGAGCTCACAGGTAACAGGGGTGCGAGCCTGGAAAGCAACGCCGGGAGGCTGTGGTCGTACTCCTCTTGCTGCGGGCAGTGGGGGCTCCTAGCACCGAGGCAGATTCCACCCCAAATATGCCCTGACTGTCCCCACACAGGAAACAGAAACCCAGAAATGGTCCTATCACAGTAAGGCTAGCCCGGGGAGAAGAAAACTAAAGTCTACAGCTGTCCTTCACTAGTATGCTTGAGAAAGGGGCAAGGCCTGCGAACAGAGCCACACTCCCACCCCAATATAGTAGTCGAGATGTAACACACTCTGATGCTCCAGACCTTGCAGCATCTGGTACCAGAAGGCACTTTTAAGGTTTTGTGTTCAACGTGACTTCATCTATTCCCAGATCTAGCCCTGTGAGGTGGGCCAGGCAGGCGGCATTTAACCACTGGGAAAACAAAGGTGCTGGAGCGGCACTGAGTCATGGTGGGGTGAGGATAACCACTGCGATGTGGAGCCCGCTTTCTGGCACCCAGGATGACACGGGGGCCACGAAACTCCAGGCCTGGACCAAGCCAACCCTGAGCCTGGGACTTCCTTTGGACAAAATCTTCAGAAATTCTTTCCCATCACTAGTTTCTCCCCACAGTGAGCTGAGGCCTCTTTTAGCTGGGTTTCAGTCACACCATGTTTTCGTGGCCATTATTTGGTGCTGTCACCTAGTGCATCTTTTCCTTCCTGTTTGCAAAATTAATCTCAACCTCCAAGCAGATGTTAATGGATTAAGACCACATTCAACCCAGTGAGGATAACATCTCTGCTAGGGTAGAAAGCCTTCGCCAGGAGGGAGTCCTCCTCAAGGATTGTTCTGTACTGCTTGCTGAATGTGGGTCACAGGCTCAGACCCCCAGAGCATCTGGGGTACAGGGCTACATGGCAACACCAATGGCACAGGGGCTCAAAAAGAAAACAATTCATTGGTAAGCTGTTCTTACTAACTTTTCAAGCTTTTTGTGCTTCTATCACAAAAAGGAATTTTTTTCTCCTCCTTGTCTTCCCGTTCTATTTTACTGTCTCTTCAAAATTATCTCCCGGAAAGCCTGAACATTCACCTGCTGGGTATGCAGAAAATCATGTAGACGCAGTCGACAGAGAAACAGCTCTGAAGTTTCCATCTGACGGTGTTGCCAACAGAACTTTCATACCCAGATATTTTATTTGATGAAAAATAGAAAATTCTATTATAAGAAAATAAAATGACTTTGGCAACATTTCCCCCAACGGTTTCCAGTTACATAAACTTGTTTTTCTTAAAACGATACCAAGGTAGCTCAGCAACGATACACCACTGGTAACAACCACGTCTAACGGAATTCCCTGAAAAACCTCCTTGCTTCCCTCATGTGCTCAGTAACTCTTGCAATCAATGGTTTTCAACTTTGAAGAACTATCGAAATAGGATGAGTTGAATATTCAAGACTACCTAATTCAACCCCAAGTATTCCATGCAATTGTGGTTGAGCCATTCATATTCCAGACTTATACCAGGAACAACCTAAGGGCAGGCTCCCAAAAAGGCCTCCTAAGTGGTGCCGGACAGCCCAGGCTGCAATGTCCAGAGAGCTAAGGGACCTGATTCGGGTCTACATTTTGGAAAACTATGATCAATCATAGTTGAGAAAAAATAAAAGGAACTTTTCAGAGGTCTAATTATATCTTCATAAAGCTTTTAAAAAGTTAATATCTACTTAACTCTTATTCATAAAAAATGAAGCCCTTGATCTAATTAAGATGATTGAGAAAGGTGTAGAGGAGTAATTAATTTGGGAGGTGTTCTGGGAATAGGTACACGGGTCAAGCATTCACCATCATTAAAATGGCAGGCACTCGACTACCTTGTACAAGGTTGATGACGGCGGCCTCTCCCACCTACGTCTGAAAAGTGCCGCTGTGTGAATCTGTGTGACTCACCTACTCCAGTTCGTGGCCCACCGCAAAGAATCCTGATAGTCTCATTTCTGTTCATGCTTAAAAGCTTACGATCCAGTAGCACTGGCTATTCAACTTTTAAAATATTCAGATATGCCCTGCAAATAAATACAAAACATTTCTGTGCCCACACAGTCCCACCATAAAAGGTTATGTACAAATTAAACTCAGCTTTTAAACCATTTTCTCTGTCTGTCCTTACCCTAAACCAAGTTCAATTTATATCCAAAATATATTTCAATATTCTAAAGGTATTGTATTGGACCTGTTATCAAATATGTAAACAGAATTTACCTTGCTTACACTTATGAACCATGTTTTTAAGTTTTTAATGCACCTGTACTGACCCACTATAAAAGCTAACCAAGTCACACTTATACTGAAAAGCTGATATGGATTTTAAGGTAGCTCCCTGGAGACAACTGCCAATAACATAAACTAGTATTACTGAACCTAGTGGTTTATTACATCATTCAATTTGAAAGACCAAAATAATTCCATTCTGATCTTGTAATAACGCTCTCTCTGAATGAGCCCCCAGCGTCTGCTGTCCTAAGTAAACATGCCGAACTGGAGGTCCCACAGGAATTTATACTCAGCACAAAACCGGGGCTGGGTGTCAAGCGACCTCGTACCCTCAACTGCACCCGTTCAAAGTCCCCAAGTCTCGGTATCAGTCGGGTTTGGTCAAGATGAACTTCGAGAATGGAAACTTGAGGTGAAGTCGAGAAGCCGAAAGGGACACACGGCCGACCCTCGTAAGAAAATCAAAGGATCCATTCCTCGCACACTGTCACCCTCACACTCCACAGTCGGACTGCTTCTCCTGAAGCTGCCTCGTCAGTATCTGATGTGAAGACAGGAAAGCCACTCCGATGTGGAAAAGGATCTGCCACAGGTTCCGCAGCCCGTGCAGGTACACGTTGCCCAGGCAAATGAAGAGCAGCATCAGCACCACCTTCGTAGTCCTGGCTGGACTGTAGAACAGGTACAAATAACACTGAAATGACACCACAGGGGAAGTCCCATCAGAGGTAACAAAATGGCTGCAAGGTCAGGTGCGAGGTTCACGTCTCACACCTGTCACACACCGCATCATTCCATGCCCATCAGCTTATTACACTGAACTCATTACAATGAAGCTTGGACTCGCCGGGTAAGTTGCTGCTAATCACAGAGATGTGGAAGAGAAGAAAGTGAAATCGATGTCACAGGAGGAATTAGAACATGGTACTCGGGAAAGAAGTGTAGAACAGACAGACAGAAGCGCCCGGGCTGCGGGCTGCGGAGGAAGAAGAGATGCGGGTGAGGGGCCAGGCCAGCACCCCGTAACCTCCGAATGAACTCCTTCAGGGGTTCGTGACAGGTGAGGAAGCCAGAGAGAGAAGCTGTGCTTTTACTTTCTTAGTTTTACGGAGTTACAACCAGATAGGAGACCACCGTTCTTTAGACATCCCCTCAGCATGTATTCAAAAACATCTCTGAAACAGGGAAAGGTCTCAGAGAAGGGAGGGAGAGCAATATTTTGTGTAGAGCTATCACACGGAAAAGAGGCCATTCTTGTTCTGCAAAAGGTGGAAATACCTTTCGGATTCAATGGGTTTGGTTTTCGTTTTTTTTAAAAAGCACATTTTCAAAACACAGAGCAATCCAACAAAGACTCAGCTGCAGTGTGAGGGAGAGAGTTCCCCATCGAAAGAGCTATCCAACTAAGAACGCAGCTGAGGGAATGAAGGGAACTGTAAGATCCCCTGCAGCCCTGAAATGCAGCTCCAGGAAACGTCAACAGGCAGCATCCAAGGTTTCGGAAACTTGTTTCTAAAACATGAGTGCATTTTCAATAATCTTGGGTTGAAAATTTCTTTCTGCGCAATCATGTAATTTTTTAAAATAGGCCATTCTAAAATGTATGTGGAAGGGAGAAGAAATGCCTTGAGAATGGAAATTTTAATTAAAAAAAGAAAAAGCTTAAGCATGCAAAGAAAGTACTAAAATCCTAGCCCATGTGGAGGACAGGGAAAGAATTACAGACGCGTTTTCACTAGAATTAACTCTGCCTATACGAGATTCGAAGGGTCCTTTTTACTTCGCCCCTCCATATGCAGCATATTTTAAAATAACTAAATAATAATCAAAGCCCTCTAGTTAATGTTATAATTTCTGTTTCATTTCCTAAAGATAGATTCGAGTCAGATGGCATTACTACTAAAGACGATTCTTTTTCACCTAGTCTTGTGTTTAAAACACACGTATACATAGACGTGGCTTCCGCAGGATATTTCCGTTCATGAACTGCCCAATAATAAGCACGAGGCAAGACTCTGCCTCACAGTCGTCAGGCCTAACCCTCCTGCACTGCGAACTCACCCCTCCCTTCCTGGGCGGCAAGTCTCAATTCCTGGTTTCTGTTCCGCCACTGTCGAAAGCCCTGCAACCTCAGGCAAATGGCTTTCCTTTCTGAGCCCGAAGTCCTTCCTCTGTAAAATGAGAGGCCTAGGCAGGGTGGGCCTAAGGTCCCTCCCCTAAGGGTTTGACACTGTCCATGATTTGAACCAAGCTCTTGGTAGAATAAAAATAGGATCTAGAAACTTGTCAATAGTTCCAATAAAAGAACAAAATAAGGCCATGGGCTTAACCCGCTCACCAACATATCAGCATTTCACCTACCTGGAAAATGCAGGCTACAAAAGGAATAAGAAAAGCCAGAATATTTCCAATTTCCTCATGGGCAACCTAAAACAAATGAGGAACACGAGAAAGGACTATTTAGATGAAAGAACACTCGAAGACGCAGAGCATTTTGCTCCTCAGTCAGTCTGGCACAGTTGATAATACGAAATCCCGGGCTGCGTGTGACAGAAGTCCCTGTTTACGTACCTGAACAGGGGATGACAGGCAATGCTTTTCAATGGCCCGGACACACACCTTGTGCCCTCCTGTCCCCAAGCATCTATGCTAAGCCCTCAACCTGGAACGCCCCGCCCTTCCCCCCCACAACCCTACCACCTCTGGAAATCCTACTCATCTGTCAAAACTAAGCTTTTCCTAATTCCTCCCAACGCCAGGTACTGCCACCTCCTTAGTGATATCTGGATGTCACCACACTCTGCCTTGTACCCCCTGGCAGGGACTATGTATTAACCATCTTATTGGACAGGCACCTGTCCTAGTGTGTACAGATACTTGGTGAGTTTCTGGTTATGAGTAATCACAAACAATAAGAGTAGGAACCACACTAAACATTGGCCAAAGACAGGCTGTGGTAACAGGCAGTGCCCAGGCCTGCTGCCATTCTCCAAGAAGGTCCATCGGCATTAGTCTCCCGAGACCTAGCACCAGCCATGCTTCAGACTGTCACCGCCACGTACACGGCGTGAGCATCACGGCTCTCTTTAAAAGTAACATCTATATGTTTATGTTCGTGATGGTTCTGTATTTCTTAAAAGTGTCTGAAATACTTCAAATTACCAACCACTATTTAAAAAAGCATTGAAGCAGAAAGATGTTTTGAGAGGAGCAGACTGGAAAATCAACTTCCAAGTGATACAGTTTTTGATCAAGACACAGAGCAGGTGGTACCTGCATGGTATAAATCAGACTATGAGGCCGCTTTTCCCAGGGGGAGAAAAAAGGGCCTGATCCTTGAAGTCTAGACTCAAACTTCTGCCCTTGGTGATCAATCCGGCCCCTGATATGACTCTTGGGGCCGGATGTCCTTGCGACAGCTCGGCCGCGTCTCACCACCATCCCAGCGGCCCTTTGGCTTCTTGGGAAAACAAGTACAAAAAAGCAAGCTTCATGTTTGTTCAACTTACTACAAAGAATAAAATTAGAAATAAAAATTTTATTTGAATTAAAAACCTGAGTGCATAACAACCTTATAATAAAATGTGTCCTCAACAGTTCCTTCCTCCATGTGTCCTTCAGTTTATTTAAACTGTGAAGAAAAAGTTACCTGTAAAGAATGTTCTGCAAGGTGAATTCCACGAATGAGATTCAGAGCAGCACACATGATGTTGAGAATAAGGGACAAGACACCCAGGGCTGTCACTGGTTCCATTCGGAAGGTAGGAGCTTCACAATTAAAAAAAAATAAGTGTCTAGTGAAAATAATTTTTATATGAAAGAAAAATAAACAAAGACATTAACTAGACCTCCACTAATGATAGGCTATGCTAAACACACAAACACATTAATTTAAAAAGCAGCTGTTAGGGGGGAAAAGGCAAGAAATGAAGGACAGAATGAACCCAGGAAGCCGAGGTGAGTTCCTTCCAGAAACCGGCCCTCCTCTGAGCGAGCACAAGTTTCTCAAGTGTTTCATATCCTTTCTGTTTAAAGTAGTGGTTCTCAGCTAAGGTAACACGGCTCCTCAACGTACACATGGCAATGTCTACAGACATTTAGGGTTGTCACGACTGCGGACAAGGTGCTACGAGCATCTACTGGGTAGAGGCCGCGAATGCTTCTAAACATCCTACAATGCACCAGACAACCCCCACAGCAAAGAATTATCCAGTAAAAAATGCCAGCGGGGTTGAGAAATCCTGATTTAAAGCAATGTAGGGCTGTATTTGTAAATTAGTTGTCAACTACCGAAAGCATTCCTGTTACCCCCTCAGCTTGGAGAATGCTCCATTCTTTTACTGA